GACTGTAGGAGTGGACTGTAGATGAGGGACTGTAGATGAGGAACTGTAGGAGTGGGTTATAGGTGAGGACTGTAGATTCGAATTGTAGGAGTGGACTGTAGGAGGGGACTGTAGGAGAGGACTGTAGGAGCGGACTGTAGGTGCAGATTGTAAATGAGGACTGTAGGAGTGGACTGTAGATGAGAACTGTAGGTGCGGACTGTAGGTGCGAACTGTAGGTGCAGATTGTAGGAGCGGACTGTAGATGAGAACTATAGGAGTGGACCGCAGATGAGGACTGTAGATTTGAATTGTAGGAGTGGACTGTAGGAGTAGACTATAGGTGTGGACTGTAGGAGTGAACTGTAGATGAGGACTGTAGGAGGGGACTGTAGGTGCGAATTGTAGGAGTGGACTGTAGATGAGGACTGTAGGTGCGAATTGCAGGAGTGGACTGTAGGTGCGAATTGCAGGAGGGGACTGTAGGAGTGAATTGTAGGAGTGGACTGTAGATGAGGACTGTAGGAGTGGACTGCAGATGCGGGGAGTGTAGGAGCAGACTGTAGGAGTGGACTGTAGGTGCGGAATGTAGGAGTGGACTGTGGGTGCGGACTGTAGGAGGGGACTATAGATTAGGACTGTAGGAGTGGACTGCAGGTGCGGGGAGTGTAGGAACGGACTGTAGGTGCGGTTTGTAGGAGCGGACTGAAGGTGCAGGCTGTAGGAGCGGACTGAAGGTGCAGACTGTAGGTGCTGTCTGCAGCTGAGGACTGTAGGAGTGGGCTGTAGGAGGGAACTGTAGGTGCACACTGTAGGTGCGGTCTGTAGGTGAGGACTGTCGGAGCCGACTGCAGGTAAGGACTGTAGGTGCAGACTGTAAGTGCGGACTGTAGATGAGGACTGCAGTTGCGGGCTGTAGATGAGGACTGTAGGAGCGGACTGTAGATGCGAACTGTAGGTGCGGACTATAGGTGAGGACTGTAGATTCGAATTGTAGGAGTGGACTGTAGATGAGGGACTGTAGGAGTGGACTGCCGTTGCGGACTGTAGATTCGAATTATAAGAGTGGACTGTAGATGAGGGACTGTAGGAGTGGACTGCCGTTGCAGACTGTAGATGAGGACTGTAGATTCGAATTGTAGGAGTGGATTGTAAGAGTGGACTGTAGATGAGGACTGTAGGAGTGGACTGTAGGTGTGAATTGTAGGAGTGGACTGTAGGTGTGAATTGTAGGTGTGGACTGTAGGAGCGCTCAGTAGAACCGCACTGTAGAAGTGGAATGTAGAAGTGCACTGTAGGAGCGGAATGTAGGAGCGCATTGAAGAAGCGCACTGTAGGAGCGCACTTTAGGAGCGGAATGTAGGAGCGCACTGTAGGAGCGGAACTTGGGAGCAGAATGTAGGAGTGCAATGTAGGAGCGCACTGCAGGAGCGGAATGTAGGAGCGCAAAGTAGGAGCGGAATGTAGGAGCAGACTGTAGGAGTGGAATGTAGGAGTGCACGGTAGGAGCAGAATGTAGGAGCGGAATGTAAGAACGCACTGTAGGAACGGAATGTAGGAGCAGAATGTAGGAGCGCACTGTAGGAGCGGAATGTAGAATCGCACTGTAGGAGCAGAATGTAGGAGCGCACTGTAGGAGTAGAATGTAGGAGCGCACTGTAGGAGGGGAATGTAGGAGCGCACTGTAGGAGGGGAATGTAGGAGCGCACTGTAGGAGTGGAATGTAGGAGCGCACTGTAGGAGTGGAATGTAGGAGCGCACTGTAGGAGCGGAATGTTGGAGCGCACTGTAGGAGCGGAATGTTGGAGCGCACTGTAGGAGCGGAATGTTGGAGCGCACTGTAGGAGCGGAATGTTGGAGCGCACTGTAGGAGCGGAATGTAGGAGTGGACGGCTGCCTTTGCAGTGTTTTGGTGACAAGAACCTAAAACACCAGCTGTGGCCCTTCGGGGGGGGCGGGGCTACATAAGAGTCATCACACTTTCCACAAAGAAGAGACCTGAGACGAGAGTGCAGTGCAGAACATTCGTGTTTATTCTAGAAAAGCAGAATTCATGATTTCCAAACAGAAAAAAAAAAAATTTAACGCTACGATCCAAATCCAACCCAATCTTTTACAGTTCATTCCCGTGGTGCGGTCTGTGTGAGTGCGGGACCGCGCCCGCACTGTTCATTCAATCCCTGCAGGCCTAGACCTACCCAAAGTGTCCCCGAAACTCTTCAGAATATTTTTGCCCCGCCCTCAACACACACCAGTCAGAACATGAAAGTGTGAACTCTCCGGTGTGCAATAAATTGTATTTATGTAAACTGAAACATTTCCCGCACAAAATAAGGACGCTCGCCCGGTGACTTTTCCGTTGTGCAAAGATGTCCATTTTTCCCCCTCGGTGAAACGTTTCCCTCACTGTGAACTTGACTAAGGACGCTCACCGGTGTGAATTCTTTGGTGCGCAATAAGGTGTGCTTTCCTCAGGAAACATTTTCCGCACTCGGAACAAGAATAGGGACGCTCGCCAGTGTGAATTCTCTGGTGTTTTCGAAGGTCGCCTTTCTGGCTAAAACATTTCCCGCAATCTGAACACTGAAAGGGTCGTTCCCCCGTGTGAATTCTCTGGTGCTTTAGGAGGTCTCCTCTCTCAATGAAACGTTTTCCCACACTCTAAACACGAATAAGGGTACTCTCCCTTGTGAATTTTTTTGGTGTGAAACAAGGTGTCCTTGTCTAATGAAAGATTTCCCGCACTCGGAGCACGAAAATGGGCGTTCACCTGTGTGAGTTCTCTGGTGTGAAACAAGGTTTTTTTTTAGTGATGAAACCTTTCCCGCACTCTGAACATGAATAGGGTCGCTCACCCGTGTGAATTTTCTGGTGTTTCTGAAGATCTACTTTCTGAATAAAACATTTCCCGCAATCTGAACATGGAAAGGGTCGTTCACCGGTGTGAAACTTCTGATGCTTTCTAAGGTCCCCTTTCTGAATGAAACATTTCCCGCACTCTAAACATGAATAAGGAAACTTCCCTGTGTGAATTTTTTGGTGTGATACAAGGTGTCCTTGCCTGATGAAAGATTTCCCGCACTCTGCACATGAGAAGGGGCGCTCACCTGTGTGAGTTCTTTGGTGTGAAACAAGGTTTGCCTTGGTGATGAAACATTTCCCACACTCTGAACATGAAAAGGGTCGCTCGCCTGTGTGAGTTTTCTGATGTACAAGGAGGCCTCCTTTTTCACCAAAACATTTCCCGCACTCTGAACACGGAAAGGGACGTTCACCCGTGTGGCTTCTCTGATGTTTGCGAAGGTCTCCTTTGTAAATGAAACGTTTCCCGCACTCGGAACATGAATAAGGGTATTCACCTGTGTGAATTTTCTGGTGCGCAAAAAGTTGCGCATTCGTAACAAAACATTTCTCGCACTCCGAACACGAATAAGGACGTTCGCCTGTGTGAATTCTCTGGTGTTTGACAAGGTGTCCTTTTATAACAAAACATTTCCCGCAATCTGAACATGAATAACGACGATCGCCTGTGTGATATCTCTCGTGTAAAACAAGGTGTCCTTTTCTAATGAAACTTTTCCCGCACACTGAACATGCATAGGGACGCTCACCTGTGTGAATTCTCTTGTGTATAAGAAGCAATGAGTTTTTTGTAAAGGATTTCCTGCACTCTGAACAGGACAACGAACGTTCACCTGCGTGAATGCCTTTATAGCTTGAAAAAGATTCATTGGAAGTAGATGGATCTGCTGAAGTATCTGTGCTGTGAGACCTTAGAGTTTCGGTGTGGGATTCTTCAGAAGGTTCCACAGCATTAGAGGAATCCATGGATCCCTCCAATTGCGAAGGTCTGGGATGTATATTTTGACGTATGGGATTCACCCCTGCAGAATATTGTTTGATGGGATTTTCTTCTACTTTATAATCTGGAGATACAATGAGGTGTTCCTCAGAGGTCTCCTGGACGTAGTGTCCACCTGTCGGGGAAACAATTTTTACAATAAATGTTATAAGTATTTTCCAAACCAGCAAAATCCATTATAAAAGATCAAAGAAAAACAATCCATGAAGACAGAAAGGAATGGACATCAGAAGGATACAAGAAAGTGGAGAAGAATCAAATCCAACCACCACTGATACAGGCAGGAGAAACTCCCGATGTTGGGAACAGAGGGCCAAGCCAAAAGCCACATCAAGCCCTTTGCTGCAAACTGAGAACCATCTTATTTTGAGGAATGGAGATGGACCTTTCATATGGTGTCCAGTAACTCCTCCTCATTTGTTGGGAACATGACGTTATATTGAGGAATGGAGATGGACCTTTCATATGGTGTCCAGTATCTCCTCCTCATTTGTTGGGAACATGATGTTATATTGAGGAATGGAGATGGACCTTCCATATGGTGTCCAGTATCTTCTCTCCATTTGTTGGGAACGTGACGTTATATTGAGGAATGGAGATGGACCTTCCATATGGTGTCCAGTATCTTCTCATTTGTTGGGAACATGACGTTATATTGAGGAATGGAGATGGACCTTTCATGTGGTGTCCAGTATCTCCTCCTCATTTGTTGGGAACATGACGTTATATTGAGGAATGGAGATGGACCTTTCATATGGTGTCCAGTATCTTCTCATTTGTTGGGAACATGACGTTATATTGAGGAATGGAGATGGACCTTTCATGTGGTGTCCAGTATCTTCTCTTCATTTGGTAGTGTGGTCAATATATTTGCCTTCTTCTAAAAACTTAGGGTGGTTAAGGATTTCATAAGATCACAATGAATAGCAAAGAATGGAGCTGGAGGTAGACAGTACATATTCCAGGAACAGACTAAGAGCAGGGTAGGCAGCAGAAGTAAAATGAAAATGTGAACTGTTTCTTCTTTTAGTGTTTATTGCTTACTTAGATCTATATGCAGAAAAGATTCCTCCTCTTTAATTTTCACAATCATCTCCCCCTCCTTCATAGACTGCTGATGTCCACTCACTAACATCTCTTCTTCTTCCTCTTTTACCTCAACTTTGATGTCTGTCTGTTCTTCACCCTGAACCCCAAAGATGTTAGAATACATTTGTTAAAAGGGACAAGAAATTACATAGAAGAATGTCCTCTCATATCTTAGAATACATTTTTAGGTCTGCATGCTCAGCCTCACCTACCTGATGATGGTGAGGGATGGTGTGACCTTCCTGTGTGGAATCCCAGGAATACAGAGGACGGGGACATCTCTCTGGTGGGTTCCCATGACTGGATCCATCTGTAGGAAACACACACACTGACTGAATCCATTGTTTCTATGTGTTTATCAGATGATGGGGGATCTAGGTGGACCCTCCGTACTGCTCTCTCCTTTACAATAAAGTCTCCTCTTACCCGGTGATGTGAGGGGCGGCTGATTGTCCATCATGACGTCCTTGTAGAGGTCCTTGTGTCCTTCTAAATACTCCTCCCCAGAGTCACTGACATCTTGACACCTTATAGGAACCTGACACACACAATGATACAGTCACCATCCAGACACATCTCTTGTCTGTTACTGGAGAATGCCCCACAATTTCCAGCACTGCTCACCTCTCCTGACAGCAGATCAGTGATCTTCTGGGTGACTTCTAGAATCTTCTTGGCGCTGCTTCCCTCTGTTGTCAGGCAGTGAGGTGGAGGCACTGTGATGGGTGATGTCCTGGGAAGAAAAAACCAGAGGCTCTGGATGGACGGTTGGATAAATGGTTCTATATTTAGGACGTATCCGGTCTATAAACCAGAGGCTCTGGATGGACGGTTGGATAAATGGTTCTATATTTAGGACGTATCCGGTCTATAAAGCAGAGGCTCTGGATGGACGGTTGGATAAATGGTTCTATATTTAGGATGTATCCGGTCTATAAACCAGAGGCTCTGGATGGACGGTTGGATAAACGGTTCTATATTTAGGACGTATCCGGTCTATAAACCAGAGGCTCTGGATGGACGGTTGGATAAATGGTTCTATATTTAGGACGTATCCATCTATAAACCATAAAGATGTCTCGGTGACGATGGAGGAAGAGGATAGACATGATGGGGGGGGGGGGGGGGCTCACTGGGTATAATAACAATACCTTATCACCTCCTCTGCCGCCGGTTGCAGGAATATCTCCCTCTACTTCCTCCCAAGTCACCTCTCACCAGGAAAATCCTATTTATAGATTACATCACTTCCTGTCTCACAATCAGTGAGATCGCCTCCTAGTGGAGTGAATACAAAATATAGCCTACTTTTTTACACTCTGAATTCCGCCTCTTCCGATGTGTTCTTCGCTGGTGTTGAGAAATATCACAAACTAATTAAAAAGGCAAATGAAAAAAAATATATGAAAAGTAGTTGGATTGCATATTATGATCCCTAAATACGTAAAAATATGAATTTCAGTCAAGTTGCAGAATTTTGCAAAATTCATAGTGAAAAAAAAAAAACGAGTAAAAAATGAGAATCTGAAACCGGAACCAGAATCGGGGCGGGAGCAGAGATGACAATAAAAAAAAAAGAAAAAAAGCTGATAAAAAAAAAGAGTGATGAGATTGCTGCTCCCCCACACCGCGCACCCACAGAGATACCCAGGCATTGGGGTGCCCCTGTGGGAGGAGGCAATGAGGGTCTATCACACCACTATGGGGCATATGTTCTCCCACTGACCAGCAATAAGGGACACAATATTACTGAACACAGCACTCTGTACACCATGCTGTACTCAGCACATCTCTTGGTTCCACCCCCTACCCACCTCTGAGCACCGTCCCTTGGTTCCACCCCTACCCACCTCTGAGCACTGTCTTTTGGTTCCACCCCCTACCCACCTCTGAGCACCGTCTCTTGGTTCCACCCCCTACCCACCTCTGAGCGCTGTCTTTTGGTTCCACCCCCTACCCACCTCTGAGCACCGTCTCTTGGTTCCACCCCCTACCCACCTCTGAGCACTGTCCCTTGGTTCCACCCCCTACCCACCTCTGAGCACCGTCCCTTGGTTTCACCCCCTACCCACCTCTGAGCACCGTCTCTTGGTTCCACCCCCTACCCACCTCTGAGCAGTGTCCCTTGGTTCCACCCCCTATCCACCTCTGAGCATTGTCTCTTGGTTCCACCCCCTACCCACCTCTGAGCACCGTCTCTTGGTTGCACCCCCTACCCACCTCTGAGCACTGTCCCTTGGTTCCACCCCTTACCCACCTCTGAGCACCGTCTTTTAGTTCCACCCTCTATCCATCTCTCAGTACTCTCCCTTGGTTCCACCCCCTACCCACCCCTGAGCACTGTCTCTTGGTTCCACTCCTACCCACCTCTGAGCAACCATCCCTTGGTTCCTCCGCCTACCCACCTCTGAGCACTGTCTTTTGGTTCCACCCCCTACCCACCTATGAGCACTGTCTCTTGGTTCCACCCCCTACCCACCTCTGAGCACTGTCTCTTGGTTCCACCCCCTACCCACCTCTGTGCAATGTCCCTTGGTTTCACCCCCTACCCACCTCTGAGCACTGTCCCTTGGTTCCACCCCTTACCCACCTCTGAGCACCGTCTCTTAGTTCCACCCCCTATCCATCTCTCAGTACTCTCCCTTGGTTCCACCCCCTACCACCTCTGAGCACCATCCCTTGGTTCCACCTCCTACCCACCTCTGAGCACTGTCCCTTGGTCCTACCCCCTACCCATCTCTGAGCACTGTCCCTTGGTTCCACCCCCTACCCACCTCTGAGCACTGTCTTGTGGTTCCACCCCCTACCCACCTCTGGGCACTGTCTCTTGGTTCCACCCCCTACCCACCTCTGAGCAATGTCCCTTGGTTTCACCCCTACCCACCTCTGAGCACTGTCCCTTGGTTCCACCCCTTACCCACCTCCGAGCACCATCTTAGTTCCACCCCCTATCCATCTCTCAGTACTCTCTCTTGGTTCCACCCCCTACCCACCTCTGAGCACCATCCCTTGGTTCCTCCCCCTACCCACCTCTGAGCACTGTCTCTTGGTTCCACCCCCTACCCACCCCTGAGCACTGTCTCTTGGTTCCACCCCTACCCACCTCTGAGCAACCATCCCTTGGTTCCTCCCCCTACCCACCTCTGAGCACCGGCTTTTGGTTCCACTGCCTACCCACCTCTGAGCACTTTCCCTTGGTTCCACCCCCTACCCACCTCTGAATACTGTTCCTTGGTTCCACCCCTACCCACCTCTGAGCACTGTCTCTTGGTTCCACCCCCTACCCACCTCTGAGCAATGTCCCTTGGTTCCACCCCTTACCCACCTCTGAGCACCATCTCTTAGTTCCACCCCCTATCCATCTCTCAGTACTCTCCCTTGGTTCCACCCCCTACCCTCCTCTGAGCACCATCCCTTGGTTCCTCCCCTACGACACCTCTGAGCACTGTCTCTTGGTTCCACCTCCTACCCACCTCCGAGTACCACCCCTATTAGAGAATACAGAGCCAAGTATCATTTTGTGATACTAAGTAATTTCAATGGAATTTGTTCATGATAAGAAAGACAGTAAAATAGACTCCCTGCAGTGAGCAACAATAACCCCCACTGGGGTCTGCTGGCTGCTGGGAGGACACTGGAATTACAACCTTCCACCCTGGGAAGCACAGTGCCACCAGCAGGTGATACAGGTCCTGACACAGAGCTGGGAACTCAGCACAGGGATAAGAGTGTGGGCAGGTGCAGCAGATGTAATGACAGAGTCTGGTGACAGTAAAACTTAAATATTGAAGAAAACGCCAAACTAAAAACAACCCCAGTGCGAGGACGTCGCTCAGGGAGAAGCTTGTTCAATGCAGCGGGGAGGAATGCACCGACAGTGTCTGTCTTCAGAGGGTAGAATGCGGCCTGGCCAGTCTGGTCCCAAATGGGAGGCTTCTTTGCAAAATTGCGGGGCCCCAGCCTGTCCTTACTTACCTTTTCCTTGCTGCCATCACTTTCCCTTACAGATGGGTGCTCTTTTCCTATGCTAGCCACTTCGCAAAAACCCTGGAGCAGGGTCCTAATGCTAACCCAAGATGGCCACCAGAAGTCACCTGAATGCAGAGTAGCTATCCGGAATGGAACTAGGAAACCATGTTTCTCCTGACTTCCAGGCTGTGCTCCAGTGGGTCACCACCCACAGTCGAGAAAGCTGACTGCAACCTGCCTACAGGTAGAGCAAGGAACTCAGCATAGTGATGAGGGGAATTCCTCGAAATGGGCAAAGCAGGTGTACAGACCTGGGAACTCGGCACAGGGATGGTGGGAACCCTTCAAAATGGGCACAGCAGGTGTACAGATCCGGGAACTCAGCACAGGGATGGTGGGAACCCCCTCATAATGGGCACATTGGGCATACAGACCCGGGAACTCAGCACAGGGATGGTGGGAACCCCTCATAATGGGCACGGCGGGCGTACAGACCTGGGAATTCAGCACGGGGATGGTGGGAACCCCTCATAATGGACACAATGGGTGTACAGAGTCTGGTGAATTACCTGATATCTGTCTTTTGGGTGAACTGACTCTCTAAGGACCAATATAATCGAAGAATTAGAGTGATTAAAAAAAAAAAAACAGTAAAAAAACTCAAAACACATATTTACAAAAATGTATTTCTTGTTTATTTTAAAAAGTCAGAATTAGTGATTTACAAACCATAAAAATGAATCTAAATGACATTTGATATAATGGATGAATATTGGTAGGTGCCGTAAAACGTCCTCTATTCTATGGTGCGCTCCGTAGGAGTGCAGGACCGGGTCAGCGCTGTTATTTTTGCCCCGCCCAGAACACATCATGAACACGAGAAAGGTTGTCAGTCTGTGTGACTTCTCTCGTGGGCAACAAGTGATCTTTTGAAACGGAAACATTTGCCGCACTCTGAGCATAAGAAATTACGCTCGCCCCTGTGACTTCCCTGGTGGCTGACAAGGGTGGTTTTCTGGACGAAACTTTTCCCGCACTCCGAACAAGAATACCGCCGTTCGTCCGTGTGAATTCTTTGGTGCGTAACAAGTTTACTTTTCCGAATAAAACATTTCCCGCACTCTTGGCACGAATAGGGACGCTCGCCCGTGTGAATCCTTTGGTGCGTGACCAGTCTACTTTTCCGAAAGAAACATTTCCCGCACTCTGGGCAGGAGTAGGGACGCTCGCCTGTGTGACTTCTCTGGTGTCGAAGGAGTTTTCCTTTCTCAATGAAACATTGCCCGCACTCTGAACATGAATAAGGACGCTCATCTGTGTGGATCTTTTGATGTATTACAAGGGAACTTTTTAGAGTGAAACATTTGCCGCACTCTGAACACAAATAAGGATGCTCGCCTGTGTGAATCCTCTGGTGCTCAACAAGTTTACATTTGCGATCAAAACATTTTCCGCACTCTGAACATGGAAAGGGGCGCTCACCCGTGTGCGTTTTCTGGTGTCTAAGAAGTTTTCCTTTCTCAGTGAAACATTTTCCACACTCTGAACATGAATAAGGGCGCTCATTCGTGTGACCCCTTTGGTGTACTACAAGTGAACCTTTCCTAGCGAAACATTTCCCACACTCTGAACATGGATAGGGGCGCTCACCTGTGTGACTTCTCTGGTGGCTAACAAAGTGACTTTTGTGAGTGAAACATTTCCCGCAGTCTGAACAAGTATAGAAAGGTCCACCTGTGTGGCTTTTCTGATGTTCAAGAAGTTCTCCGTTTTCACTAAAAAGTTTCCCACACTCTGAACATGAATAAGGGAGCTCTTTCTTGTGAATCCTTTGGTGTACTACAAGTGAACTCTTCCGAGCGAAACATTTCCCACACACTGAACATGGATAGGGGCGCTCACCGGTGTGAATTCTCTGGTGTGTCACAAAGTGACTTTTGTGATTTAAAACATTTCCCGCACTCTGAACATGAATAGAAAGGACCACTTGTGTGGCTTTTTTGGTGTCTAAGAAGTTCTCCGTTTTCTCTAAAAAATTTTCCACACACTGAACATGACAATGAACTCTCTCCTGTGTGAACTCCTTCATGGATTAAAGAAAATTCATCGGGAATTGATGGATCTATTAATGCATCTGTACTGTGAGAGATTCGAGTCCTGGCACGTGATTTATCAGAAGATTCCTCAGGATTTGAGGGATCCTTTGACTTCCCAAGATGGTAAGGTCTGTAATGTGTATTTGGAGTCACGGGATTCACTCCTGGAGAATATTGTACAATGTTAATATCATCTGGTGATACAATGAGATGTTCCTTAGAGGTCTCCCGGACATAGTGTCCACCTGTGGAAAAAAATGTATAATTAATGTTAAAAGTAATTTCCAAACCTAACCTTCGGGAGACGTGTATATATATATATATATTACTCCAGCATGGACAGAGCAAGAAAAGAAACATATCAATGCTAACCAGATAAAGGTTACAAGACAACCAAATCACATTGGATAACATTGCTTGTACCATGATGGCAACATTACTGTGAGAATAGAAATGACCTTCCTCCACCTCCACGGAGATGGATCTTTCATATGGTGTCCAGTATCTCCTCCTCATTTGTTGGGGACGTGACGTTATATTGAGGAATGGAGATGGACCTTCATATGGTGTCCAGTATCTCCTCCTCATTTGTTGGGAACATGACGTTATATTGAGGAATGGAGATGGACCTTTCATATGGTGTCCAGTATCTCCTCCTCATTTGTTGGGAACATGACGTTATATTGAGGAATGGAGATGGACCTTTCATATGGTGTCCAGTATCTCCTCCTCATTTGTTGGGAACATGACGTTATATTGAGGAATGGAGATGGACCTTCATATGGTGTCCAGTATGTCCTCCTCGTTTGTTGGGAACATGACGTTATATTGAGGAATGGAGATGAACCTTTCATATGGTGTACAGTATCTCTTCCTCATTTGTTGGGAACATGACATTATATTGAGGAATGGAGATGGACCTTTCATATGGTGTACAGTATTTCCTCATTTGTTGGGAACATGACGTTATATTGAGGAATGGAGATGGACATTTCATATGGTGTCCAGTATCTCCTCCTCATTTGTTGGGAACATGACATTATATTGAGGAATGGAGATGGACCTTTCATATGGTGTCCAGTATTTCCTCATTTGTTGGGAACATGACGTTATATTGAGGAATGGAGATGGACATTTCATATGGTGTCCAGTATCTCCTCCTCATTTGTTGGGAACATGACATTATATTGAGGGATGGAGATGGACCTTTCATATGGTGTCCAGTATCTCCTCCTCATTTGTTGGGAACATGACGTTATATTGAGGGATGCAGATGGACCTTCATATGGTGTCCAGTATCTCCTCCTCATTTGTTGGGAACATGACGTTATATTGAGGAATGGAGATGGACCTTCATATGGTGTCCAGTATCTCCTCCTCATTTGTTGGGAACATGACGTTATATTGAGGAATGGAGATGGACCTTCATATGGTGTCCAGTATCTCCTCCTCATTTGTTGTGAACATGATGTTATATTGAGGAATGGAGATGGACCTTTCATATGGTGTCCAGTATCTCCTCCTCATTTGTTGGGGACATGGCGTTATATTGAGGAATGGAGATGGACCTTTCATATGGTGTCCAGTATCTCCTCCTCATTTGTTGGGAACATGATGTTATATTGAGGAATGGAGATGGACCTTCATATGGTGTCCAGTATGTCCTCCTCATTTGTTGGGAACATGACGTTATATTGAAGAATGGAGATGGACCTTTCATATGGTGTCCAGTATCTCCTCCTCATTTGTTGGGAACATGACGTTATATTGAGGAATGGAGATGGACCTTTCATATGGTGTCCAGTATCTCCTCCTCATTTGTTGGGAACATGACGTTATATTGAGGAATGGAGATGGACCTTCATATGGTGTCCAGTATCTCCTCCTCATTTGTTGGGAACATGACGTTATATTGAGGAATGGAGATGGACCTTTCATATGGTGTCCAGTATGTCCTCCTCATTTGTTGGGAACATGACGTTATATAGAGGAATGGAGATGGACCTTTCATATGGTGTCCAGTATCTCCTCATTTGTTGGGAACATGACGTTATATTGAGGAATGGAGATGGCCCTTCATATGGTGTCCAGTATCTTCTCCTCATTTGTTAAGAACATGATGTTATATTGAGGAATAGAGATGGATCTTTCATATGGTGTCCAGTATCTCCTCCTCATTTGTTGGGAACATGACGTTATATTGAGGGATGGAGATGGACCTTTCATATGATGTCCAGTATCATGATTGAAAGAAAAAAAGGCTTCACCACTATAATCGGCAGGGGAACTTTGTTTTTAGAGCAGTGCGAATGAAGAATAGTCTGGTTCTAGATGACTTAGTATATTACTGAAAGAAATGACTAGATGTGCTTCTTAATTCAAAATATAACAATGGCTATTATGGAAAAAAACTGTAGAATGTTGATCTCGGGAGTTATCTGAATGCCTTTTGGGATCAGGAGATAAGGCTGAGCTTTATATGGACATCCCGTCTTCTTCCACTATGAATTTTTGTAACCCTTCTTCAACTGATGTAACAATGTAAATATATACCTTATATTTATAGAAGTGAAATGCAAATGTGAACTGTTTTTGCATTTAGTGTTTATTACTTACACATGTCCATATGTAGAGAAGATTCCTCCGGTTTACTTTCCATAGTCATCTCCCCCTCCTCCATAGACTGCTGATCTCCACTCACCAATGTCTCTTCTTCTTCCTCTTTAATCTCAATTTTGATATCTTTCAGTTCTTCAAACTAAGCCCCAAACATGATGGAATACATTTGAAAAAAAAATAAATAAATAAATAAATAAACAAGTGATTACATAGAAGAATGTCAACTCATAGCTCTTTAGGTCTCCAAGCTCAGTCTCACAGACCTGATAATGGTGGGGGATGGTGGGATCTTCCTGTGTGGAATCCCGGGAATACAGAGGATGGGGACATCTCTCCGGTGGGTTCCCATTACTGAATCCATCTGTAGGAAACACACACACTGACTGAATCCATTGTTTCTATGTGTTTATCAGATGATGGGGGATCTAGATGGACCTTCTGTACTGTACCTTTCTCCACCATGTTCCTTGGAAACATACTGAAGAATCGAGATGATCCCTTTATATTGTGTCCAGTATCTCCTCCTCATTTGTTGGGAACATGACGTTATATTGAGGAATGTAGATGGACCTTTCATATGGTGTACAGTATCTTCCTCTTTTGATGAGAACATGACATTATATTGAGGAATGGAGATGGACCTTTCATATGGTGTCCAGTATCTCCTCCTCATTTGTTGGGAACATGACGTTCTATTGAGGAATGGAGGTGGACCTTTCATATGGTGTCCAGTATCTACTCCTCATTTGTTGGGAACATGACGTTATACTGAGGAATGGAGATGGACCTTTCATATGGTGTCCAGTATCTCCTCCTCATTTGATAGAACATTGGGTAGTGTAGTAAATATGATCATTTTATAATGGTGAGGACTGGAGATTATACTTTTATATTGTGTACAGTATATTGGGGTGGTGGGGTAGGTGCACTGATGATGATTTTACTGTCAGCAGTTAGGGTTTCTTTCCTGTACAGGAGTATGTGACCTTTGTATTTTGAATAAGAGCAGCATAGCTTGACCCTAATTGTAAGAAACCTTTCTTTATACTTATAGAAGTAAAACGCAAATGTGAGCTATTTCTGCATTTAGTGCTTATTACTTACTTCTGTCCAAATGTAGAGAAGATTCCTCCAGTTTATTTTCCATAATCATCTCCCCCTCCTCCATTGACTGCTGATCTCCACTCACCAACGTCTCTTCTTCTTCCTCCTCTTTAATCTCAACTTTGATGTCTTCCAGTTCTTCGTCCTAAACCCCAAAGATGATGGAATACATTTGTAAGAAGGAACAAGAGATTACATAAAAGAATGTCCTCTCATATCTTTGAATACATTTTTAGGTCAACATGCTCAGCCCATCTACCTGATAGGGGATGGTGTGACCTTCCTGTGTGGAATCCCGGGAATACAGAGGATGGGGACATCTCTCTGGTGGGTTCCCATTACTGGATCCATCTGTAGGAAACACACACACTGACTGAATCCATTGTTTCTATGTGTTTATCAGATGATGGGGGATCTAGGTGGACCCTCCGTACTGCTCTCTCCTTTACAATAAAGTCTCCTCTTACCCGGTGATGTGAGGGGCGGCTGATTGTCCATCATGACGTCCTTGTAGAGGTCCTTGTGTCCTTCTAAATACTCCCACTGCTCCATGGAGAAAAAGACAGTGACACCCTGACACCTTATAGGAACCTGACACACACAATGATACAGTCATCATCCAGACACATCCCTTGTCTGTTACTGGAGAATGTCCAAGAATTCCCAACACCGTTCACTTCTACTGTCAGCAGATCAATGATCTTCTGGGTGATTTCTAGAATCTTCTTGGCACTGGTTCCCTCTCTTGTCAGGCAGTGAGGTGGAGGCACTGTGATGGGTGATGTCCCCTGGAGACAACTGCTAGGTGGTAATGGATCACCAGATATTTCCTTCACTATTTTATAATCCTGAGTTTAGAGGGAAAGTAACAATTATCACTACAGACCTCCCAGAATCCTCCTCACCTCTTCAGTCAGGTCTCTGTTTTATTAATAGAGATAAGAGTAATGTCATGTGACCTCCCAGAACCCTCCTGTGTGGAATTCCGGGAATACAGAGGATGGGAACATCTCTCCGGTGGGTTCCCATTACTGGATCCATCTGTAGGAAACACACACACTGACGGAATCCATTGTTTCTTTGTGTTTATCAGATGATGGGGGATCTAGGTGGACCTTCTGTAATGTACCTTTCTCCACCGTGTTCCTTAGAAACATACTGAAGAATGAAGATGGACCTTTCATATGGTGTCCAGTATCTCCTCCTCATTTGTTGGGAACATGACGTTATATTGAGGAATGGAGATGGACCTTTCATATGGTGTCCAGTATCTCCTGTTGGATAAATGGTTCTATATTTAGGATGTATCCGGTCTATAAACCAGAGGCTCTGGATGGACGGTTGGATAAATGGCTCTATATTTAGGATGTATCCGGTCTATAAACCAGAGGTTCTGGATGGACGGTTGGATAAATGGTTCTATATTTAGGACGTATCCGATTTTTATAAACCAGAGGCTCTGGATGGACGGTTAGATAAATGGTTCTATATTTAGGATGTATCCAGTCTATAAACCAGAGGCTCTGGATGGACGGTTGGATAAATGGTTCTATATTTAGGACGTATCTGGTCTATAAACCAGAGGCTCTGGATGGACGGTTGGATAAATGGCTCTATATTTATATATTTAGGACGTATCCGGTCTATAAACCAGAGGCTCTGGATGGACGGTTGGATAAATGGTTCATGATCGTGGACATGACGATGGAGGAAAAGGACGGACATGCCAATGGAGGAAGAGGATGGACATAACAGGGGGGTTACTGGGTGTAAATAGAAAATAAGATCTTATTACCTCCTCTGCTTCCAGTCTCAGCAATGTCTCCTCTCTACTTCCTCTGGACTCACTTCTCACCTGGAACTTCCTGTCTACGTCTTACATCACTTCCTGTCTCCGTGTTCCACTGGCGATAAATGCCTCTCGAGGCAATCTTCACATTTCTCACAATCAGACCGATCGTTGGAAAACGTGAATGTTTTGGTTCTTGAAGAGAATTAAAAAAAAAAAGCCCAGGAAAGAAATCCTTGGAACTGTGCTTGTTAATTGTCAATGAACCAAGAAAGATAATCGACTGAATGTGAACCCCAGTTTTTGACATCGGTCTCCAACGGTTTTGATGGCCATTCTCACCTCTAGGACTTTGCCTTCACAAAACTAGGGGACGTAGCTATTCAGAGAAAAGTCAATGAAATGGCCTTTCACTTTCGGGAGGTGGTACCACCTGCAAACACGACTTGTAAAAGGGATTCAGGCCGTGCTGAAACTCCCCTGCAACCATGATGGTGAGGCGGTGGGTCAGCATTTTGAGGGTTAGAGCCGGTGGTGAGGAGGTGGTATATATTATTCCCTTACTGACTGTTAGACACACTTACATTCCATGCCGATCACTTCTTAGGGGGGGGAACACTATAGCCCCATATGTGAATTCACCCGTGTTGTCACATGTGCACAGCTACCACCTCAGATTGTATGTAGAGCCCTAGCCAAACGTTTTGGGGATGACACCAATATTAATTCTCACAAAGTACTCTTCCGTGTTTTTAGATCTTTTTGTCAGATGTTACTCTGGTATACTGAGGTATAATTACAACCATTCCATACGTGTCCAAGGGTTTTATTGACAAAGACATGAAGTTTAAGTAAAGGGTCATCATTTGCAGTGTTGACCCTTCCTTTTCACAACCTCTACGATTCTCCTTGGCATGATGTCCATCTACTTATGGGTCACATCCTGACTGATGGTAGCCCATGCTTGCACAATCAATGCTCGGAGTTGGTCAGAATTTGTGGGGATATTTTGTTCACCCGCCTCTTAAGAATTGACAACAAGTTCTCAATGGGATTCAGGTCTGAGGAGTTTCCTGGCCATGGACCCAAAATTTTGATGTCTTGTTCCCCAAGCCACTTAGGCATCACTTTTGCCGTATGGAAAGGTGCTCCATCATGGTGGAAGAGGCATTGTTCATCACCAAACTGTTCTTGGATGGTCGGGAGAAGTTGCTCTCGGAGGATGTTTTTGGACCATTCTTTATTCATGACTGTGTTCTTGGGCAGAATTGTGAGTGAGCCCGCTCCATTGCATGAGAAGCGACCCCACACATGAATGGTCTCAGGATACTTCACTGTTGGCATGACACAGGACTGATCGTAGCGCTCACCTTTTATTCTGTTTTTTTCGGAAGCCCCAAACAATCAGAAAGGGGATTCATCAGAGAAAATGACTTTCCCTCAGCCCTCAGCAGTCCAATCCCTGGACCTTTTGCAGAATATCAGTCCGTCCCGGATGTTTTTCCTGGAGAGAAGTGGCTTCTTTGCTGCCCTTCTAGACACCAGACCATCCTCCAAAAGTCTTTGCCTCCCTGTGCGTGTCGATGCATCACACCTGCCTGCTGTCAATCCTGTACTGGTGGTGCCCCGATTCAGCAGCTGAGTCAACTTTAGGAGATGGTCCTGGTGCTTGCTGGACTTTCTTGGACTCCTGAAGCTTTCTTCACAACAACTGAACCTCTCTTCTTAAAGTTCCGATAAATGGTGGATTTAGGTGCATTCGTAGTAACAGCAATATCCTCGCCTGTGAATCCCTTTTGTGCAAAGCAATGATGACTGCTTGTGTTTCCTTGCAGGTAGCCATGGTTAACAGAGGATGAACAATGATTTCAAGCACCACCCTCCTTTTAAAGCTTCCAGTCTGTTATTCTAACTCAATCAGCATGACTCCAGCCTTGTCCTCGTCAACACGGACACCTGTGTTAACGAGAGAATCACTGACATGAAGTCAGCTGGTCCATTTGTGTCAGGGATGAGATGCAGTGGAGCTTTTTTTGGGGGGGATTAAGTTCATTTTCATGGCAAAGAGGGACTTTGAAATTAATTGCAGTTCATTTGATCACCCTTCATGACATTCTGGAGTAAATTAAAATCGCCATCATCAAAAATTGACAAATTGAGGCAGCAGAGTTTGTGAAAATTAATATTTGTGTCATTCCCAAAACTTTTGGCCAAGGTTATATATATATGTGTGTGTGTGTGTGTATATATATATATATATATATATATATATATATATATATATATGTACACACACACACATATACATATATACACATACAGTATAAGCAATCATTTCTGACAACTCTTTCCTGCATTCATGCAGCCATTGGGAACTACTGTGATTGGACGCAGCTATCACATCGTAACAGGGCTGCCATGACTGGTCCTGTACCATTTGGTCACTGTAGCTAATCACAGAGATCACATTAGTAAACAATGGCTTCATGACTAATAGCCATTGTTTACTACTGGACATGTGATCGCTCTGATTGGTGACAGCGATCACATGGTACCAGGGCAGAGTGGCCCAAAACACCTGCGTCCGGTGCACACAGAGGTCACGGATCGCACCACTGTGCACCCCCAGGGGCACTTACGAGGCGCAGTTTTGGGAGCACATTCGGGTAGGTCCTAAAACAACGTTTGTCCTGCCCAGCCACTGTACATATACAGCGAGGTGAGACAAGTGTTGTTCTTGGAAAACGTACCGGTAGCTCCTTCCAGAACCCCACCTATTGTGCACTCCTGGCACGATCTGTGAACGCCGTGTCCACTGGTAACAACGGATCACCGATTGGCCCCTGTACTTTGCCCAGGTAAGCGGTTAAATAATAGGAGATTCAGACCAGAACAATATACGTGTCGAGCTTTCTGGATTTTTATGAATTCAGATGATATATTGTGAATATATGAATTTTATGAGATTTTATGAATTCATTCCAATGAACAGACAATAATAGGAATCCTTTATTCCAATCACATATTTGTATAAATCACATTGAAATCACAGCTGACAATTCAGAATGATCCAATGGGACAACAAGCTGGCTTCTTTATTACAGGAAATGATGAGCATTAACCAACCCAAAGATTCATCGGCAAAAGACAAAGTTTGATTGGCTGCTGAGGGTCTCTGCAGTTTGTACATCAAGCTTTTATGTGCTGACTTTGTTACGGGAGATCTGTGTTCGCTGGAGGGGATCTATGAATGCGGGGTCTGGGGAGAGAGGATATAGTGAATGCGGGGTCCGGGGAGAGAGGATATAGTGAATGCGGGGTCCGGGGACAGCGGACATAGTGAATGCGGGGTCCGGAGAGAGCGGGTATAGTGAATGTGGGGTCCAGGGGAGTGAGGATATAGTGAATGCAGGGTCCGGGGAGAGCGGATATAGTGAATGTGGGGTCCGGGGAGAACAGATATAGTGAATGCGGGATCCGGGTAGAGCGGATATAGTGAATGCAGGGTCCGGGAAGAGCGGATATAGTGAATGCGGGGTCCCGGGAGAGCGGATATAGTGAATGCGGGGTCCGGGGAGAGCGGATATAGTGAATGCGGGGTCCGGGGAGAGCGGATATAGTGAATGCGGGGTCCGGGGAGAGCGGATATAGTGAATGCGGGGTCCGGGGAGAGAGGATATAGTGAATGCGGGGTCTGGGGAGAGAGGATATAGTGAATGCCGGGTCCGGGGTTTAGTAACACTTTATAAATGCACACCTCTCTATGTGAATTCTCTAAGAAGGTTTACTTCCCCTGTAACGTTACCCGCATGCTGAACATTAAAAAAAGGAACAAAAAAAAAAGTCACATCCCTTTATGAATTCTCAGGTGTTTAACAAAGTGTTGTTTTACACTGAAACATTTCCCACACTCTGAACATGAATAGGGACGCTCACCGGTGTGAATTCTCTGATGTGTATTAAGGTTTCCTTTCTCGCTGAAGCATTTCCCGCACTCTGGACATGCATAGGGACGCACACCTGTGTGACTCTTCTGGTGTCTAAGAAGGTTATCTTTCGTAATGAAACCTTTTCCGCACTCTGAACACACATAAGGGCGCTCGCCTGTGTGAAGTCTCTGGTGTGAAATAAGTTTTTCTTTTCGCAAGAAACGTTTCCCACACTCTGAACATAAGAAGGGGCGTTCACCCGTGTGCAATTTCTGATGCAAAGTAAGGTTTGATTTGTAACTGAAAGATTCCCCACACTCAGAACAACAATACGGTAGACCACCTATGTGAACTCTTTGGTGCGAAAGAAGTTTGTACTTTTGAGGGAAACGTTTCCCACACTCTGAACATGGGAAAGCAAGCACGCCTTTGTGAAATTTTAGATGCTTACCAAGGCTTCCGTTGGAGGCAAACCATTTTTTGCACACTGGACACGAGAAAGGATGCTCACCCTTATGACCTTCCAGGTGTTTATGAAGGTCTTCTTCATTGAGGAAACATTTCCCGCACTCTGAACATGAGAAAGGATGTTTGCCCTTGTGACCCTCTAAATGTGTATGAAGGTCTTCTTTGATGGTGAAACGTTCCCCGCACTCTGAACACGAGAATGATCGTTTTACATTGTGACCTTCTAGATGTTTATGAAGGTCCCCTTTCTTGGTGAAACGTTTCCTGCACTGTGGACATGAGAAAGGAAATTCTCCTGTGTGAGTTTTCTGGTGTATAAGAAGGAATCCTATCTGAGTGAAACTTTTCCCACACTCTGAACATAAATGGGGGCGCTCGCTCTCATGATTCTCTTGTGCGCGAAAAGTGCCCTGTTATCAGTGAAAGATTCACCACACACCGAACATAAAAATGATAGTTCACATTTGTAAACACCTTCCTGGGTGGATGAAGATTTCTTGGGATCAGATGAAGCTGCTGAACGATCCACACGGTGAGAAGTCGGTTTATCACAAGAGTCCCTGGAATTAGAGGGATCCATTGAGTTCTCCAAAGGGTAAGGTCTACCATGTAGATTGACTTCTGGAGAAACTTCTGCTTTGTAGTTGTGAGATAAAATACAATGTCCCTTGGAAGTACTTCGAACATAATGTTCGCCTGTGGAAGGGAATTGTCCGATTTTGTATATTGAGAATGTTTTACATTTTTTTTTAGTACATACTGTATATGCTGGGCTAGAGGTCAAACATTTCATAGGTTTTTGGTGTGCATCTAGGAGCAAACAGATTAACTGTGATTGTGCATGATGTCCAGGATCTCCTCCTCAATTGTTGGGGACATGACGTTCTACTGAGGAATGGAGATGGACCTTTCATATGGTGTCCAGTATCTCCTCCTCATTTGTTGGGAACATGACGTTATATTGAGGAATGGAGATGGACCTTCCATATGGTGTACAGTATCTCCTCATTTGTTAGGAACATGACGTTATATTGAGGGATGGAGATGGACCTTTCATATGATGTCCAGAATCTCCTCAATTGTTGGGGACATGACGTTCTACTGAGGAATGGAGATGGACCTTCCATATGGTGTCCAGTATCTCCTCCTCATTTGTTAGGAACATGACGTTATATTGAGGAATGGAGATGGACCTTTCATATGGTGTACAGTATCTCCTCCTCATTTGTTGGGAACATGACGTTATATTGAGGAATGGAGATGGACCTTTCATATGGTGTCCAGTATCTCCTCATTTGTTGGGAACATGACGTTATATTGAGGAATGGAGATGGACCTTCCATATGGTGTACAGTATCTCCTCATTTGTTAGGAACATGACGTTATATTGAGGGATGGAGATGGACCTTTCATATGATGTCCAGAATCTCCTCCTCAATTGTTGGGGACATGACGTTATATTGAGGGATGGAGATGGACCTTTCATATGGTGTCCAGTATCTCCTCCTCATTTGTTGGGAACATGACGTTATATTGAGGAATGGAGATGGACCTTTCATATGGTGTCCAGTATCTCCTCCTCATTTGTTGGGAACATGACGTTATACTGAGGAATGGAAATGGACCTTTCATATGGTGTCCAGTATCTCCTCCTCATTTGTGGGAACATGACGTTATATTGAGGAATGGAGATGGACCTTTCATATGGTGTCCAGTATCTCCATCTCATTTGTTAGGAACATGACGTTATATTGAGGGATGGAGATGGACCTTCATATGGTGTCCAGTATCTCCTCCTCATTTGGGTAGTGTGGTAAATACAATTACCTTCTTTTGATGAGGAGTAGAGATTATACCCTTCATACATTGGGGAAGGTACATTGATGATGTTCTTAATGTCAGTAGTTAAAGTTTCTCAGTCTCATCTGTACAGAAGGATGTGACGTTCCCTTTTTTGATTTCGGGCAGCTCAGGTTGCACATGATTGAAAGAAAAAAAGGCTTCACTACTATAATCGGCAGGGGAGCTTTGTTTTTAGAGCAGTGTGAATGAAGAATAGTCTGGTTCTAGATGACTTAGTATATTACTGAAAGAAATGACTAGATGTGCTTTTTAATTCAAAACATAAAAATGGCTATTAATAGTTGTAGGGAAAAAAATTGTAGAATGTTGATCTAGGGAGTTATCTGAATGCCTTTTGGGATCAGAAGGAGATAAGGATGAGCTTTATATGGACATCCCGTCTTCTTCCACTATGAATTTTTGTAACCCTTCTTCAACTGATGTAACAATGGAAAAACTGTACATACTTTACACTTATAGAAGTGAAATGCAAATGTGAACTGTTTCTGCATTTAGTGTTTACTACTTACTTGTATCCATATGTAGAGAAGATTTCTCCGGTTTACTTTCCATAATCATCTCCCCCTCTTCCATAGACTGCTGATCTCCACCCACCAATGTCTCTTCTTCTCCTCTTTAATCTTATTTTTTATATCTTTCAGTTCTTCACCCTAAACATGATGGAATACATTTGTAAAAAAAAATAATAAACAAGTGATTACATAGAAGAATGTCAACTCATAGCTCTTTAGGTCTCCATGCTCAGTCTCACAGACCTGATAATGGTGAGGGATCTCATGATCTTCCTGAGTGGAATCCTGGGAATACAGAGGACGGGAACATCTCTCTGGTGGGTTCGCATTACTGGATCCATCTGTAGAAAACACACACACTGACTGAATCCATTGTTTCTATGTGTTTACCAGATGATGGGGGATCTAGGTGGACCTTCTGTACTGTACCTTTCTCCACCGTGTTCCTTGGAAGCATACTGAACAATGGAGATGGACCTTTCATATGGTGTCCAGTATCTCCTCCTCATTTGTTGGGAACATGACGTTATATTGAGGAATGGAGATGGACCTTTCATATGGTGTCCAGTATCTCCTCCTCATTTGTTGGGAACATGACGTTATATTGAGGAATAGAGATGGACCTTTCATATGGTGTCCAGTATCTCCTCCTCATTTGTTGGGAACATGACGTTATATTGAGGAATGGAGATGGACCTTTCATATGGTGTCCAGTATCTCCTCCTCATTTGTTGGGAACATTGGGTAGTGTGGTAAATATGATTATTTTCTAATGGTGAGGACTGGAGATTATACTTTTATATTGTGTACAGTATATTGGGACAGTGTGGTAGGTGCACTGATGGTGCTTTTACTGTCAGCAGTTAGGGTTTCTTTCCTGTACAGGAGTATGTGACCTTTGTATTTAGAATAAGAGCAGCATAGCTTGACCTTAATTGTAAGAAACCTTTCTTTATACTCATAGAAGTAAAATGCAAAAATTTCTGCATTTAGTGCTTATTACTTACTTATGTGCATGTGTAGAGAAGATTCCTCCTGTTTATTTTCCATAATCCTCTCCCCCTCCTCCATAGACTCTGGATCTCCACTCGCCAACGTCTCTTCTTTCTCCTCTTTAATCTCAACTTTGATGTCTTCCAGTTCTTCATCCTAAACCCCAAAGATGATGGAATACATTGGTAAGAAGGAACAAGAGATTACATAAAAGAATGTCCTCTCATATCTTAGAATACATTTTTAGGTCTCCATGCTCAGCCCCACCTACCTGATATTGGTGAGAGATAGTGTGACCTTCCTGTATGGAATCCCGGGAATACAGAGGACGGGGACATCTCTCTGGTGGGTTCCCATTACTGGATCTATCTACCTGATGATAATGAGGGATGATGTGACCTTCCTGGGTGGAATCCCAGGAATATAGAGGACGGGGACATCTCTCTGGTGGGTTCCCATTACTGGATCCATCTGTAGGAAACACACACACTGACTGAATCCATTGTTTCTATGTGTTTATCAGATGATGGGGGGGATCTAGGTGGACCCTCCGTACTGCTCTCTCCTTTACAATAAACTCTCCTCTTACCCGGTGATGTGAGGGGCGGCTGATTGTCCATCATGACGTCCTTGTAGAGGTCCTTGTGTCCTTCTAAATACACCCACTCCTCCATGGAGAAATAGACAGTGACATCCTGACACCTTATAGGAACCTGACACACACAATGATACAGTCACCATCCAGACACATCCCTTGTCTGTTACTGGAGAATGTCTCAGAATTCCCGGCACCGCTCACCTCTCCTGTCAGCAGATCAATGATCTTCTGGGTGACTTCTAGAATCTTCTTGGCACTGGTTCCCTCTGTTGTCAGGCTGTGAGGTGGAGGCACTGTGATGGGTGATGTCCTGTGAAGACAGCTGCTGGGTGGTAAAGGCTCACCAGATAATTTCTTCACAACTTTATAATCCTGAGTGTAGAGAGGAAGAAACAATTATCACCACAGGCTTCCCAGAATCCTCCTCACCTCTCTGGTCAGGTCTGTGTTTTATTAATAGAGATGAGAATGATGTCATGTGACCTCCTAGAATCCTCCTCACCTCTCCGGTCAGGTTTGTGTTTTATTAATAGAGATGAGAATGATGTCATGTGACCTCCCAGAATCCTCCACACCTCTCATGATCTATACAGGACTCTACTCTCTTTAGACGTATAATAAATTGAGAATCTCGTAATGGAATACATTTCTGCACAGTTCCTAGCACTGTTTTTTTTTTGTTTGGATTGAATGGAAAGAGTTAGAACTTCTTTTAAGGTATTGTTCTTGTCACATTAATGAGGTATGGGCAGAAATCACCCTTTTTCTTGCTAAAAGTTGCTTTTGTCTGTAGGGTTAGCAACAAAAATAGTATCTATTATTCATACATTATAACGAAGAGACTCTAGATGGACGGTTGGATAAATGCTCTATATTTAGGATGTATCTCGTCTATTAATCAGAGGCTCTGGATGGACGGTTGGATAAATAGTTCTATATATTTAGGACGTATCCGGTCTATAAACCAGAGGCTCTGGATGGACGGTTGGATAAATGGTTCTATAATTAGGACGTATCCAGTCTATAAACCAGAGGCTCTGGATGGACGGTTGGATAAACGGTTCTATGTTTAGGACGTATCCGGTCTATAAACCAGAGGCTCCGGATGGACGGTTGGATAAATGGTTCTATATTTAGGACGTATCCGATCTATAAACCAGAGGCTCTGGATGGACGGTTGGATAAATGGTTCTATATTTAGGATGTATCCGGTCTATAAACCAGAGGCTCTGGATGGACGGTTGGATAAATGGTTCTATATTTAGGACGTATCCGGTCTATAAACCAGAGGCTCTGGATGGACGGTTGGACAAATGGTTCATGATGGTAGACATGACTATGGAGGAAGAGGACAGACATGACGGGGGGGGGGGTTACTGGGTGTAAATATAAAATAACATCTTATTACCTCTTCTGCCAGTTTCAGCAATGTCTCCTCTCTACTTCCTCCCGACTCACTTCTCACCCGGAACTTCCTGTCTGCTTCTTACATCACTTCCTGTCTGTGTGTTCCATTGGCAATAAATGCATCTCCAGGAAATCTTTGCATTTCTCACAATCAGACCGATTGTTGGAAAACGTGAATGTTTTGGTTCTTGAGGAGAATTAAAAAAAAAAAAAAAAAAATCCCAGGAAAGGAAATCCTTGGAACTGTGCTTGTGAATTGTCTATGAAACAAGAAAGATAACCGACTGAATGTGAACCCCAGTTTTCGACATCGGTCTCCAACGGTTTTGATGGCCATTCTCACCTCTAGGACTTTGCCTTCACAAAACTAGGGGATGCAGCTATTCAGAGAAAAGTCATTGAAATGGTCTTTCACTTTCGGGAGGTGGTACCACCTGCAAACACGACCTGTAAAAGGGATTCAGGCCGTGCTGAAACTCCCCTGCAACCATGATGGTGAGGCGGTGGGTCAGCATTTTGAGGGTTAGAGCCGGTGGTGAGGAGGTGGTATATATTATTCCCTTACTGACTGTTAAACACACTGACATTCCATGCCGATCACTTCTTAGGGGGGCAACACTACAGCCCCACGTGTGAATTCACCTGTCTTGTCACATGTGCACAGCTACCACCTCAGATTGTATGTAGAGCTCTGGCCAAAAGTTTTGGGGATGACACCAATATTAATTCTCACAAAGTCCTCTTCCGTGTTTTTAGATCTTTTTGTCAGATGTTACTCTGGTATACTGAGGTATAATTACAACCATTCCATACGTGTCCAAGGGTTTTATTGACAAAGACATGAAGTTTAAGCAAAGGTCATCATTTGCAATGTTGATCCTTCCTTTTTAACCACCTCCTGCCTGCCATAGAAGGAAATGTTCTGGGAGGACGTCATATGACGTGATCCTATTCTAACTGCGCACACGCGCGGCTCCAGGAGCACGCTGCGATCAGCGGTGCACTGTGTCTCTAGGACACAGCGGATCACCAATCAACCGAAAGAGCCGAAGATGTCAGCTCGGTCATGTGATCAGCTGTGTCGGCATTTCTCTCCTCACGAGCTGTCACGCTGACGGGAGAGGAGAGCCGGTAATCGGCATTCCTCAGAGGGGACATGTACACTGATCATCAGAGCACTGATAATCAGTGTTCCCTAATGATCAGTGTAGCCTGTCAGTGCCCATCAATTCCAGCTGTTAGTGCTCATCAGTGCCAGTGCCACATATCAGTGCCTACCAGTGCACATCAATGCAACATATCAGTGCCCATCTGAGCTGCCTTTCAATGTCACCTATCACTGCCACCTATCAATGCCAGTCAGTGCCTCCTATCAGTGCTGCCAGTCAGTGCCGCCTATCAGTGCCAGTCAGTGCCGACTATCATTGCCCATCAGTGCTGCCTATCAGTGCCACCTAACAGTGCCAATCAGTGCCACCTATCAGTGCCAGTCAGTACCGCCTATCCGTGCCACCTATTAGTGCCATATATGAGTGCTGCCTTTCAGTGCCCATCAGTGATGCCTGTCAATGTCCATCAGTGCCACCTACCAGTGCCTCCTCATCAGTGCCCATCAGTGCCACCTATTAGTGTCCATCAGTGCAGCCTATCAGAGCCCATCACTGCAGTCTCATTAGCGCACATCAGTGAAGGAAAAAATCAGTTATTTACAAAACTTTATAACAAAAACTAAGAAATAACGTTTTTTTTTACAAAATTTTCAGTGGTTTTTGGTTTGTTTAGCAAAAAATAAAAAACCCTGAGGTGATTAAATACCACCAAAAGAAAGCTCTGTCTCAAAAAAATGATAAAAATTTCATATGGGTACAGTGTTGCATAACCGAGCAATTGTCATTCAAAGTGCAACAGCGCTGAAAGCTGAAAATTGGCCTGGGCAGGAAGGGGGTAGAAGTGCCCTGTAGGAGAGGGGTTAAGACCTCTCCCTGGCATGATGTCCTTGAACCTCTGGGTCACATCCTGACTGATGGCAGCCCGTTCTTGCACAATCAATGCTCGGAGTTGGTCAGAATTTGTGTTTTTTGTTTCTGTTCACCCGTCTCTTGAGGATTGACCACAAGTTCTCAATGGGATTGAGGTCTGAGGAGTTTCCTGGCCATGGATCCAAAAATTTTGATGTTTTGTTCCCCAAACCACTTAGTTCTGACTTTTACCTTCTGGCAAGGTGCTCCATCATGGTGGAAGAGGTATTGTTCCTCACCAAACTGTCCTTGGATGGATGGGAGAAGTTGCTCTCGGAGGATGTTTTTGGACCATTATTCATGGCTGTGTTCTTAGGCAGAATTGTGAGTGAGCCCGAACAATCAAAAAGGGGATTCTCCTCCCACTGATACCAATGATAGAACACTATTCCTCCCACTGACACCAATGATGGAACATTATTCCTCCCACTGATGCCAATGATGGGGCACTATTCCTACCACTGACACCAATGATGGGGCACTATTACTACCACTGACACCAATGATGGGGCACTATTCCTCCCACTGATACCAATGATGGGGCACTATTCCTCCCACTGATACCAATGATGGGGCACTATTCCTCCCACTGATACCAATGATGGGGCACTATCCTCCCACTGATACCAATGATGGGGCACTATTCCTCCCACTGATACCAATGATGGGGCACTGTTCCTCCTAAAACGTGAAGTTTAAGCAAAGGGTCATCATTTGCAACGTTGACTCTTCTTTTTTAAGACCTCTCCCTGGCATGATGTCCATCAACTTCTGCATCACATCCTAACTGATGGCAACCCCTTCTTGCACAATCAATGCTTGGAGTTTGCCAGAATTTGTGTTGTTTTTTCTCAATGGGATTAAAGTCTGGGAAGTTTCCTGGCCATGGACCCAAAATTATGATGTTTTTGTTCCCCAATCCACCTAGTTATGACTTTTGCCTTCTGGCAAGGTGCTCCATCATGGTGGAAGAGGCATTGTTCCTCACCAAACAGTCCTTGGGTGGTTGGGAGAAGTTGCTCTCGGAGGATGTTTTTGGACCATTCTTTATTCATGGCTGTGTTCTTATATATATACACCGAGCAACCATTCCTTTATGGACACTGATAGATACAGTGAATAACGTCTTGTGACAATGGTGACTGAAAGTGGGTGGTATATATTAGGCAGCAAATGGACCTGTTGAAGTTGATGTGTTAAAAGCAGAACAAACAGCCAAGTGTAAGGATTTGTGTGGCATTGACAAGGGCCAAATGTAGTCCACTGTAATGGCTAGACCATTCGTCTCCAAACTGAGCCCCCCCTTTTCCTGCCTTTCTCCAGTCCATGGGGAACATTTCCTTCCACCGACCCCAAGACCCACAAGAC